AAAAAAAAAAAAAAAAAAAAAAAATAAAATAAAACACGCACTTCCGTCTTCCTCTCTGTTCGATTTATCGACGAACTCATCACGATACCCCCCAGTCGCGTCTAACCGGGCTCAGTCGCAGATCCATCTCAGAAAAACAGAGGTCGCTCGCAGGTTCGTCGAAGGGAAGAGAGAAAGTTACAATAATTCTACCCTATACTCGTATTGTACACACGCTACGGATACCAAGAGAAAAAGCTTCGATCCTCTCTAAAGCTTCGTTTCACAACTCGTCTCCCATGTTCGCTAATAATACCTAGTATGCTACACGTCACTCGGTGAACGGGGTGGGTCACTGGCCAACAAACGTCACTGTTACATCCAACTATTCGTCTTCGACGTAATCCACGCATCGAGTACGTTCTCCAATTGGAAAATCGGCAGAAAGATTAACACGTTCCATCGGACAACTCGTCTACATCATAGTACCCAACAGGGAGCACCCTGCCCCCCCCGGTCTCTACCTCTAACTTAGGACCTCATGTTCTCAGGAGTCATGGAACACGCGCGTGGACGCTCCACGTCAGCTCATGCTCGCGTATCTTCCAATCTCTCTTCTTCCTGTACACGTGCATCCAACTTCCCAAGCCTCGAGGATCTTCCTAGTCCTTTGACATTCTCGTGCTTCGACTCGCGGCCACGTGGCGACGGGGCTCAGACGGACTCGTTTCACGGTCCGTTTCGCGGCAACGAAAACCAACACGTCCTCCTCGCTAGACATGGACAGCCGTTTCATTGATACAGCATCCTCGTTGGCGTGACGTACGACGAGACCCAGTAGAGGAACGACGCGTACCACAGGATACCTTCTTGTCCTGTTCTAGAGTCCTGCCTGACGTCTGGGTACCTAGAGTCCTCTAAGCCGGGAAGCCTCCTCTCGAAGAAGGATTTCACGCTGCTCCACATTCTGTACGGTAAGAAGGCTATATGGGCCACTTCCTGGTTGTCCACGAACGCGTAGCATGAGGCAACCACGTCGTCTATCAGCACTGTACCCTCGGTCGTCAGAGGAGCATAGATGCCTTCTTCGAGGACCAGTCTGTTGTCGACTACCTTGTCCCATCTTAGACGATGTTCCACCTCGTTCTCGTCAGCCGGGTCTTTCACCAGGATCTTGTCACCTGGCTGAACTCTGCCAGCGAACACGGAGGACCTGCCTTCAACTGGGACCAGGTGGGCCGGGGTCAGAGTGAGCACTCGGCCTGACTCGGTGGTCAGCTGCACGAATTGCCTCCTTTCGGTCAGAGAACGATCCAGAAACGCGATCACCTCGCTGTACACGATGTCTCCGGATGAGTCCAGCGCCGCGATGCGATCACCCAGCTGCACCTGGTCCAGTCTCTTCGTCGACCCGTCCTCGGTCCGCACCAGACTCCTGCCGGGGAAGCAGCCTCCGGACTTCGCCGCGGACGAGGATTCTGCAAATAGAAGATCGAGAGGTTAGGTTTTCGATGTTTATTCAAAGAGTGGTAGAATAGAAGCTTTTACTCTTATCGTGATAACTATAATATTACGTTGCATATAATTATAATTTATACTGATATGATAGCATTGTTACATTATAGTGTTATGTTATTACAATTATAACAATGAAAGAGTTAACATAATAATTTTCAGTTCAGTTTTCGATTCTAATGCAACTGTCCATTTTCCTGGCCCAGTGGCTTAATTCTCTCATCGAATCAGTGTCAGTTGAATATTTTCATGACTCTTAATTAGAAACGTGGACATCGTGTCTCCTTGATGCGCTAAACGTGCTCGGGTTAGGCTAGGAAGTTGGAAATTGAATTGCACGAAGGAAATTAATGAAAATGAAGTATCGATTATTGCATTCTTGACCCCGATTCTAGGGCGATTCAATTGTCGGAGCAGCGTGGAAAAAGTGCTGGATCTAGTATCGAATTTTCCGAATACCGGAGTTGAACTTAAAAAAGTGGTTCGCATTTCAATGGGCTGAACAATTACCATGAGTTGTATACTCTGTTGGGTCGATCAAACTTGTATGTAGATATTACAAAAATACACGAAATTTGTAACAGGTATTTCAAAATACTCGTATCTTAAATAAGGAATATTAAATCGATTTATTTATTTATATATTTAGATAGTAGAAAATTGGTTTGCAATATTGAAGTTCAATTATAAATTAAAGACACTTTTATGCAGTTACGAATGTCGTATAGATTGATTGAACAGGGGTGAGTAGAAATGGACTAGCGTTTCTCAGCCACCAGTTGGCGCCACTGTATCTATCACGTGCATTAGGTTTATCGTATTCTATTTACCGTCGAATAAATATTAAAACTGCAAAGTATTCCTAAAAATATATTCAAACATACATAGATAATTATAATTAAGATGATTTCATGATTCAAGATCCACAGTAGAACTAATTTTAACGCGATAAATTTTCTGTTATTATATCCACTAACCACTATAAAAACATGCTGCTGCTTTTAATAAATTTAATATCGACTTTTATTTGGACGAAGACGAAATAAATGGTAATTATGCATCGTTATAACACTTCAATTATTATTATTATTTGTGTATAATTAATATTCAGATTAGCTAAATAGTTGTAAATAAATCAAGAAATTAACGAAGAATCCAAAGCTCGTTATATCAACGAGTCTTTCTACTAGTCATCCAACATGGCGGCGGTTTTCTTTCGCGAAACGTCGGAATTCGTCCGAGCCCTCGAACCGGAAGGGATCCGGTCCGGCTCGATCAGGTAATCGGATCCATGGACTGCGGTGTCACCGTCGGCCAGACGATTCGAGCCACGGCTGAAAACGCCGCCACGTGAAACGAGCCATACCGTGAGAAATTCGAGGCAATCCTCTCTCGTCGACAGCCCTATATCCCTGAAACGACCCTATATCTCTGTAACGACGACTGTTCCATGCGAATAATCGCGATTTCCCCTGGGATTCCCCTCTCTGTGTCGCATCACCGAGATTGAGCGATGGCTGATCTCATTTGAATTCAAATTTCTTCCCGCCACGACGTCTACTTATCATTGCGTCAACTTCGACGTGTTCTTTTAAGTCCTTTCAAGACATTTATTGATGTAGTCAGCTGGAGAGATTTTTTAACTGGGAAATTCTTTGAATTTAGTTTTTAAATTTTCGCTGTGTAAATTTCGTGATTTTATTTCTTCGGTATTTTTGAGGTTAGGAACTAATATCCAAGTGCAGTCACTGTGTAACATTAAAGACGCAGTTGTGATTTTATTTCTTCGGTATTTTTGAGGTTAGGAATTAATATTCACGTAGAATTATTGTGTGAACATTAGAGACCTAGTTGAGATTGTATTTCTTCGATATTTTAGAGGTTAGGAAATAATATTAGCGTTAAATTATTATACGAACATCGGAGACCTAGTTGAGATTTTATTTCTTTGATATTTTTGAGGTTAGAAATTAGATATTGGTCTTCACATTAGGTAATAGATTCGTTTAGTGAATTTGGAGGTTAGAGATAGGGATTTTTAAATAATTTGGATATTAAGGAATATGGACAAGGTAGATTGCTCGTGAGGTCAGCTAGAGACTAGTAAAATAGCATATTGGGTTGAAGGATTGATTAGAAGGAAGTTTGGTGAGATTGCGAGAAAGATGGAGGAGAATGGTGATTGCATGGATTGTCGCGTAGGCATTGGGTAAGTTGATTAATACTCGACCAAGGGATGGCGTGAGAGTCGCACGCATGGCTGATTCTGGGTCAATTGGGTGACTCAATAGAGACACGTTTTTCATACGTTGAAGAAATTATACCTTTTTATTTCACTGGGTATTATATTATCTTTTATATGAATATTTCATGATTAAGATAGACGAACAGCTTTTGTTCACTTTCACTTTCGTGCACTGCTATTAACGTGTAAAACGATATTCACCATTCGTCAACGAATCTGAGTTGCTACTATAAACTTATAAAACTTAGGAGAGAAAACGATTCAATTACATCGTCGAATAAATTAACGATTTAATTAAAGAATCGATTAATCGATAAAAGAATAAATCAATTAAAACAAATGGAGTTTATTCTACAAACGTCCAAGTAATTAACCATAGACTAGAATTAAATAGATTTAAATAAAATCTCTTCGAGAACTTGATAGAAATTTAAAAAACGACTATATAAAATTTTTAAATACAAATTTAAAAAATAATTATAATTATTATAATTGTATATATTAATATGTCTATTGAACACCAAAGAGACTTCCTTAGTTACATTATCAATATTACCCATAACTTCTCAAAATTAAATATTCTTTTTTTCACGCCAGTTTTTCTTTAAAATCCTTAGATAACCCATAGATCGATCACGTCAGATCAGAAAGCCTACCCACGGGAGATATTCCAAGAATCTTCCACAAAATAGCCCAAAGAAGGATCCGTGGAATTATCGGTTAAGGGATCGACAAGGGAAATCGATCGGCCGATCGATCTAGAAAAGATCATCACACGCGTGGCTCGCGTGTGATATCCTTTTCAGTTGATCGTCTCCTTCGAAGCCTCCTTCGTCTCTCGAATATCGTTCTTTCGGCTGGTATCGATTTCGCGGCGACTGTTGCACCTGAATCTAATTCGAGACGACAGGCGAGCCTAGATTTATCGACATTTATTTTGAAACTCGAGCCGAGACTGACCGACGAAACGAGCCTGCATCCATGATTCCTTGTGTTCGAAGTTTCTTCATATTTATTTTCTACTCGCTGCGTTTGTTGACCGCGCTGAGACGCCCGTTTGAATCTTCCCGCCAACGCACTATTGCGCGGGAAAATTTGAATAGGTTAAAGTGCCCGACAGTGTTATTCAAATATTTGGCAATTCTAATTTTATTCTTGTATTTGTTCATGATGTTATTTGAGGTGTTATATCAGATTATATTGTACTGTTAGTGATGATATTGTTTGATTTAATATTATCATAAATTATTGTTTTATTTTTTGTTGAATTTAATTTTGGAACGAATAATGGTGCTCATTTTGAAGTGTGCAAACGAGGGAATGATATAATTTCTTTTTGAGGTTATTGTTAGAGCTGTGTTAATTATGGAAAGTGTATTTAATTGGTAGTGTATGACGAAGAGTTATTAATTATTAATGTATCTCAAAAATTAAACAATGTTGATGCAATGAATGATATATTTAACATTTATTCTTCCAGCATGAGTATATTTCACTTGATTTATTTATTCGAACTGGTTCTTAGCATATCATGCAGAAAATACACAAACCTTGATGCATATTTTCATGCATTCTTTCCTGTTACTCTTTCATACTTGTTATTCTACTGTCGTATTATCAGTATTATTTATTAAGTCTTGCTTTCGTTCTTTCTATTTTATCTTGGAGTATATTTCAGACCATTAAAGAAATAAAACAAATTAAGGTAAAAAATTCAATTTTTTAATTTAAAGTTAACTAAAGTAGGGGATACTTAATTTAATTTTTATTTTAATAAGTTATTTTCGCAATCTTATATTTTACTTTCTACATTTAATTTTTTCAAATATCAAATGCATGGAAATAAATTAAAATTGATCAGCCTTTAAATTCTTATATTAATCAGTGATTTACTCCATCTTTGTATTATTCAGAAAATTGCGTGTTAAAAAATTGCTATGTTAGTTTCTGTTATCTGCAATAGATAGGTCTCAGCACGTTGCACGTATTTCACTGTACCTGTGCTCGTAGAATAACTTCTTTCACCGAGTGCGATCATTTTCTACACTACCTCAAAGATCTATGGACGTCGGTAAAATAGGTAACTTCCATTTAACCGAGTCGCCAGTGGCGTAGTGACTGGATTTTTGCGGAGCAGTGGTGCTCCTTCACAAAATTCCTTCACACACGAACCAACGAAAGTAAAAGTGAAACATCATTCACATAACAATTGATTCATCAGTCTTTCATAGTTCATGAGCAAATTTGCCACTACAATCGTCATTAAAATATAAAAATTAACTTTTCAATCATAAAAAAATATTCCTAACCTTCTGAATCATTTTCGCACTGTATTTTATAATATCCTTTTATTCTGCATAATAAACTCCTCTTTTCATAATTATATATAAAGAATTAAAACAATTCCTACATCATACAATGATTACCTATCTATAATATATCACCAACAAAATCTCCCAAGATATTGCTTATTTATGATAAAGAATTAATTTAATTTATTATCGATATTAATATGAAATTTTTTCCCAGAAATCTGATTGTTGTCCTAATCGTGGAGGAAGATAAGACACGCGCGATATCCGATTTGTAAATAATGAGCGTGATTTAAAGAGATTTAAAGAGAAATTAGGTGACTAGAACCATTTTGGATAACAGTGATACGTGTTTTGTCCACTCGTTATTTCTAAATGACGAATGATGCAACTGTGACAACGTTAAAAATAAAGAAAGATCGCGTTTCTCTGGAAGAATTGATCGATAACGATAATACGATTTAGCGTGGATCAGTAGTCAGATCTAGATACCTCTGATCTGGAAAACAAACTTCACTTGCACTGCTCGAGGTCGAAATGAATTTGGTCAAATAACTGCGTGTCAGCAAAGGTATTAACTCTTTGCATTCGACGAATTTTTCGTTGCAGAAAAATAAAAATTTGTTTAAAACGGTAAATAAGAAATCGTATGCAAATTAAGACGTAGAATTACTTTACTTCGATATTCCATGCATCGTGAATCAATTTTAAATTTCATATATTAATTCACATCGATCTTTAGAATCTGATTAAATGGCGATTGAGAGTCGTTTCTCGAATGGCAAAGGGTTATAATTTCCGCCAATAAATGCCTCATTTTCGAATTACGATATAAAATTATAGCGTGATATAATTAAAAAAGAAATTGCGAATCTCAAATAAAATTGATTTCATCCAATTATCTGGAGAGATAACAAATCTCTTCTTTTATTTCGTATATATCGATTTTCTTTTTCGAAATTTAGGTGAAACGTTTGACCATATTTTTTGAGAGCACCTGTAATTTCGTCGACCAGAAATTTCTTTAATTTCTTTAATTAACATCGTAAAGATAAATATGATCATGATCAAAATTAAATATTGCAAGTTCAAATGCAAGCCAGACAATTGGAAACACTGATAAATGCCTAATTCTAAATCAATCTAGACGAAGAAATCTAGACAATAAAAATAAAAAGAGAAAAGAAATGGGGATGCTGATAATGAAGTATAAGGTACTGTGATTAGACTTCACAGAGCAATGAATATGTATCAGGATGAAAATTAAATGTCGATATCAAATCAGAAATTTTAACAAATACCCAATTCTAAATAAATCAAGATGAAAAATTTAGACAATACAAATAAAAAGAGAAAAGAAATAGTAATGATGATAATGGGGTATGAAGTACTGATTAGACTACACAAAACAGTGAATATGCATCAGGATGAAAATTAAATATCGATATCAAATCAGAAATTCTAACAAACACCCAATTATAAATAAATCTAGATGAAGAACTCTAAATAATGCAAATAAAAATAGAAAAGAAATAGCGGTGATGATAATGAGGTATGAAGTACTGATTAGACTTCATAGAGTAGTGCATATGCATCAGGATGAAAATTAAACATCGGTATCAAATCGGAAATGTTAAGAAATACCCAATTTTACATAACTCTAGATGAAGAACTCTAAATAATACAAATAAAAATAGAAAAGAAATAGTGACAATGATGAATGAGGTATGAAGTGATAATTAGACTTCACAGAGTAGTGCATGTGCATCACGATGAAAATTAAATGTCAATATCAAATCGAAAATGCTAACAAATATCCAATTTTAAATAACTCTAGATGAAGGACTCTAGACAATACAAATAAAAATAGAAAAGAAATAGCGGTGATGATAATGAGGTATGAAGTACTGATTAGACTTCATAGAGTAGTGCATGTGCATCACGATGAAAATTAAATGTCAATATCAAATCGAAAATGCTAACAAATATCCAATTTTAAATAACTCTAGATGAAGAACTCTAGACAATACAAATAAAAATAGAAAAGAAATAGCGGTGATGATAATGAGGTATAAAGTACTGACCAGACTTGACGGAGCAGTGGATATGCGACCTGGACTCGTAGTAGACCCAGTCGAAACCAGCTTCGACGGCGAGTCTTGCCAACATCCCGTACTTGGAGCGATCCCGATCGCTCGTCGTCACGTCGACGGCACGTCCCTCGTAATGCAGAGAATCCGTCGCGTGTTTTCCCTCCTCGTCCCAGCCCTCCGTCACCCTTAACTTCACCCCCGGCCACTGGTTCATTACGGAGATTGCGAGGGTGTTCAGTTTCTCCTTGCACCTCTGTAACAAAAATTCCCGAAGTTATTCGATTGACTGATCTGGAACACTTGGAAACTTAACACTAAGCCTAGCTAAAACCAAAATGACCAATTTCGAAATTTTGATTAAATATTCCGGATTTCATTTTCCCTCGATTTTGATTCTAATATGGACGAAATTAATTTCTCATTTCTTTTTTAAAGACCTTCTTATATTTTCTCATCTATAGATCATTGGTTAGGTTAGATAGGTTTAGTGTTAATTATAGTATTTATCAGAATTTTTATTAAATATTCTGGATTACATATTTTCACAATTTTTATTTTAATATGAATAAAATTAATTTCTCATTTCTTTTTTAAAGATCCTCTTTTATTTCTTCATCTACCTGTCATTTGACTAGTCGTAGTAGGATTTATCGTGGAAAATTGATGAAGACTTCTAGCCTGGTAGGGTAAAAATATTCTCCGAGTATTGAAAGTCTGTCTCTCTAAGAATCAAATACGAATTACAATTAAAAAATTAATACCAGGACACTCAGCAACCACCCAATCTCCAATCCAAATACTCGAATCCTCCTCACCAGTAAATTCCATCTGCAGAAACCCAGAGAACCCCTCGAAATAAACCCCAAACACATCCCAAGCCCACCTTTCAAGCAGCCTAAATCACTCTCCTAACCACACACACCTAAATTCCCGATTCCCAAAACTCAAGAACGAACCATCCCCCTCTCTTTCATCCTTCCCTTCGTAGTGACTAAATTTCAAATTTCTTTCGCCAAAACTATCGTAAGCGTTATGTGTATGACGATATTCGACCCTAGAAGACCAAGTGACACATTGCTATAACACGAAGATTGTCATATCGAACAAAAATATTTCCAAAAATCCAGAATATTCCGAACTAACATGAGACAATAGAAAATCGTACTATATATTAAAAAGATCTGCGGAATAGCAAACAAGCCATTTAGTTGTCAATCTACAGAAAGAAAACTACGAATAAAGTATCGGGACGATATAACACAACGACTGGTCACATCGAACAAAAATACTTCCAAAAATCGAGAATATTCCGAACCAACATGAAAAAATGGAAGATCCCACTAGATATTAAAAAGATCTACAGAACAGCAAACAAGCCAGCAAATTATCAATCAACAGAACGAAAACTACGAATAAAATATCAGGATGCCCAGTAAGTTGTTGTCAATTTTCAATAAGCGACAACAGGACGGGTCCAAATATATCAAAATGATCGAAAATAAACATGTATCTATTCCAAAAGGCGATATCTCGTATTTACATGTTTAGAAGAGAGTCTGGTTAGGTTACTTTCGGTCAGTTTTGCAATATGGAGGACGAAGTGCATTACCGGAACCCTCTAGCGCGAGACCAATCCTTCCTCGACCTTAGCCTGCATCCGTGAAACGCAAACAACGACCCTTCATCCCCGACGAGGTCTTTTCATCCGTTATCCACGTCGCAGCGAGCTTCCATCTACCGCCAGTTTTCCCCGAAGTTCCGCTTAACGCGATTTCCATGGCAGGCCAGGATTTACGCGATTTCACGCGGATGCGCGCGGAAAAAGGCGTCGCGCGGCGTGCAGCCGGTCGGCCAGGTAAACGGAACGTCCCATGGAAATAGGTGGCGGGAAACGAATGCGTGTTTTGACCGGGATAGACTTTCGATGAGGGAGGACCCTTTAAGGGTCGAGCCCGTGGCGAATCAGGAGGCAAACAGGAGTATAAATACGACCGGTGTCGAGGATCATTCGGTCACGGCGATCCTCTTCTTCTTCTTCTTCCCGTTCTCTGATTGTCACAGACTGCCAGACCTCTTTTTCCGTGTTCCTGGTCTACCTGGGTGATAGTGTCCACGGTCAACAGGACGCGTGAAAGCGTGCACGAGATACGGCTGACTTCCACGGGTCCTGGAAGGATCCTCGGCTTTGGGCATTTTCTCGGGATTCTTCCGAGGTTATCGAGCTGAATGATTGTAAGCTGGGTTTCGTACACGAAAAGGGCGGTTGTTCTTGAGTTGGGATGTTTTGATGTTTTGGTGAAGTTTAAGGAGATTTTCTGCGAGTAATAATAGGTAGGTTTGCTCATTGACGTTTTTGCGAGCCATTGTGTGACAGTTGGCTTTTTGGTGCTGGGCTCTGCTTCCTAAAGGCGCTAGGTAGGTCGAGATTTTGCGAGGTTCAGGTTTAAGATTTTCTTGGGACACGTCGATGGTATGGAGAGAGGGGGGACTGAATTGTGAGAAAGCCTGCGAAACTTTGTGGAGCAAGAGGATCATTGTTAGATCTTGAGATAATATAGTAATCTCTACGATAATTAGCATCTTTATAATTAGTTTGTATTATCACCGAGTGATGTCCTTCTTTTATTATTATCGAGGGTTCCTAATTTTCATGTATAAAATACATGAATTATAGATTGCATATATCTATTAACGTTTATATATCTAAGTGTATCTATCTAATTTATCTAATCTAACAACGTGTATATATCTATTAATTGTTCTTATTACCTTAACCCTTTGCACTCGAGAGGTGACCCTCAGTCGCCATTTAATCAAATTCTAAAGATGGATGTTAATTAATATATCAAATTTATAATTACCCAACGATGCGTGGAATATCGAAGTAAAATAATTCTACGTCTTAATTTGCATACGATTTCTTATTTACCGTTTTAAAAATATAATATCGACTTTATGACAGAAAGTCCTCGAATTACTATTTTCCTGTAACGAAAAGTTCGCCAAGTGCAAAGGGTTAATTAATACTTTAGAGCAGATACATAGATTTCCATTTTTAATATAATTGTCTCTCACGTCATTCATTATAAATTACTATATATACATTTTACAGCAAAATAAAAACAGGAAAATTCATGAAAACAATTTTTAAGAAAAATAGGTTAATTTCCAAAGTTAGAAATACTGAAAAATGGTAAATTCTTCGATATTGATACCTTAGAGCAGATATATAGGTTTCCATTTTTAACATAATTGTTCCTCACGTCGTTCATTATAAATTACTATATATATATTTTCTGGTAAAATAAAAACAGGAAAATTCATGAAAATAATTTTCAAGAAAAATAGGTTAATTTCGATAATTAGAAATATTAAAAAATGGTAGATTCTTCGATATTTTTGGATGATATCGATGAATATTATTATCAGACATATAGTATAAGGGTACGCCAGTATCAGGACACCGCGAAGAACCCTTCGTGGCTGGACTTGTATAGCGCGTATTCCAGAATTCGTGGAGAAAGCGACGGTGGTGGCAGGTCGAATTCCGTGGTTGCATTGAAAACGGCGGCTTAAGAGCGGCGAGAGGGCCCGACAATACGTGCTCGGTTCGACATGCGGCCAAGAAAACGAGAGACGAGCCTTTACAATACCGCGAATTTGCAGCTCTCCTTGCGGCAATTAGCCCCTATTGAGCGGTGCACGACAGCTCGAGGGACCGGTCCCGCCTTCTCCAGCGGCCCTTGGTCGCGGGTGAAAAGCGGGCCTCGTTCCATGCCACGGTGTCACGGCCACGTGCACGCGATCGCCACAAGCGAATCGCACGCCCATCGGCTGTCGGATGAATTCCCATTAAGCGGGCACACACGCGCGGCCCGCCTCTCTCAATGAAGCAGCCTGCACGGCTGGCTTCATGCCACGCATCGCGCCGCGGTGTCACGAGATATCGCGACTGGCTCGATAACCGCCCTTAATCCTCCGCCGTGAACGGCACGAGATCTCTCGACAGATGGAGTTGGTGTAATCGACGTGGATCTTAGTGTAAGTCGTTGTCAAGTGCGTAAGTGAGTAGTTGTTGCGTTGGTAAGTCGTTGTTGCGTTTGCAAGTTGGTCGTTGTCGGGTTTCTAAGTGAGTAGTTGTTGCATTTGTAAGTCGTGGTAGCTTTTTAAAGTGAATAATTGTGTTTGGAAGTCGTTGTTGCGTTTGTAAGTGAGTAGTTGCTGCGTTTGTAAGTGAGTAGTTGTTGCATTTGTAAGTGAGTAGTTGTTGCGTTTGTAAGTGAGTAGTTGTTGCATTTGTAAGTCGTGGTAGCTTTTTAAAGTGAATAATTGTGTTTGGAAGTCGTTGTTGCGTTTGTAAGTGAGTAGTTGTTGAATTTGTAAGTCGTTGTAGCGTTTGTAAGTGAATACTTGTGTTTGTAAATCGTTGTTGCCTTTGTAAGTGAGTAGTTGTTGCTTTTGTAAGTGAGTAGTTGTTGCGTTTGTAAGTGAGTAGTTGTTGCGTTGATAAGTCGTTGTTGCATTTATAAGTGAGTAGTTGATGCGATGATAAGTCGTTGTTGCATTTATAAGTGAGTAGTTGTTGCATTCGTAAGTGAGTAGTTGTTGCGTTTGTAAGTCGTTCTAGCTTTTTTTAAATTTGTTTGTAAATTGTTGTTGCGTTTGTAAGTGAGTAATTGGTGGATTTGTAAGTCATTGTTGCGTTTCTTAGTGACTGATTGTTGTATTTGTAGGTCGTTGTTACTTTTATAAAAGAGTAACTGTTACATCTATAAATCGTTATTATGTTCGTACATGAGTTGTTGTTGCTGTTGTAAGTAAATCACTGTTGCGTTTGTACGTGAGTAGTCATGTTTATAGTAAATTATAGTAAATGTAAAATATAAAATGTAAATATAAAATATAGTATTACAGTAAATTGCATGTGTAAGTGTGCAGTTCTATTTGGAAGTAATTAGTTGCATTTAGGGATATTTCAATGGAGAATTTGACTCTTTTGATCTAGAAACAATGGTAATAGATGACGAAGCTGAATAAAGCCTATTATTAAATTTACTCTACTCATCTCGGAATATAAAAATCTAAAAAAATTCGCAATTTATTATTTCCTTCCTCAACCTCTGACAGAAAATATATATGTATACGTGCACCCTCCAGAATCCCTTTGTCCCTTTAAACAACGTCAAAGAAATTCCGCGACTCTCCATTTTGCCCTCGAGCTCACCGACAGATTGGACAAAATGGCGCCATATG